AAGCCGCGTCCTCCAGAGTGCAGCGGCCAGGCTTGGACACAGTGATCCACAGGTGATCCACAGGTGATTACCCGTAAGGACTCAAACGTTGAGGTCTCGGTGAATCCATTTTACATGAAGGAGATTGAGGCCCTGTGGAACGAAGTGAGGGATCTGAGCTTGGGAAACTCTTCCAGAGTTGAGAGGCTAGAATCCCCTCCTACTCCACTTCAATTCCTCAGAGGATTCGTCTCCCCCAACAAGCCCTGCATCATCTCCAATGCCATTAACCACTGGCCTGCCCTTTGTTCCTGGACCGACCACTCCTATCTCACGCGTGTCCTTTCCTCCTCATCTGTCTCCCTCCACCTCACCCCCAATGGATGTGCTGATGCCCTTGTCCCTCTGGATAATTACGAGCACCAGGGTGCTCCGCCTCTTTCTGCATCTTCCTTTTCCCCTGAAGCCACTGCTTCATCCTCTTCGCTCTGCTTTGCCTCTGCACACGTTGAACGCATGCCTTTCCCTAAAGCACTTTCTCTCATTTCTTCTGGAAGTGGTGATTGTTCTTCAAACCTAAGATTTGTAGCCTATGCGCAGCAGCAGAACGACTGTTTTCGGTCTGAGTATTCGGCTCTGGCTGACGATTGTGATCCCCATATTCCCTGGGCCACTGATGCTCTTGGTTGTGTTCCTGAAGCTGTCAATCTCTGGATTGGTAATCAGCACTCCCAGACTTCGTTTCACAAGGATCACTATGAGAATCTCTATGCTGTGGTCACTGGGGAGAAGCATTTTCTGCTGTTGCCCCCCTCTGATGTTCACCGCATGTACATTCGAGAATACCCCGCTTCTCAGTATAGATATTCTTGGGTAAACATGTTTCTTCTTATTGGTTAACTATGTTTTGAAATTTGAATAACTTTTTAGTGGTGCTGCTGTTATGATTCGTAGGATACTGGAGAGTTCACTTTAGAACTTGAGAAGCCAACAAGATATGTTCCTTGGTGCAGTGTGAATCCTTGTCCTTCTCCAGAGACCAAGGATGATGAAATGTCCACGTTCCCATTGTATTTCAATGGCCCTGAGGCATTACAGTGCACGGTCAAGGCTGGCGAGATTCTCTACTTGTAAGCTTCCATTGTGTTTTAATCTCCTTAATTTTGCTAGATATGCTTAATAGAGCGTAAGCTTTGTTTTTTAGGTATTAAACTGCGTCCTTATATCAGTTGAGCCTTAGCCATGGGTTCTGCGTGGTCTATGTAGAAAATGCACCAGTGCAAAGTGCACCCTCAGTTACATGCCACCCCATGAGCGGCTAACCTGGAATAGATTTAGATTAGATAAGCAGGGATTATGCTACTGGCATTTGAACGTGCAACCCCAAGGTTATGCCTCCTAGGGCTTACCCTGGAAACCAAATTCGCCAGCAGGGATGTTGCAGAAGAAACATCTTCTACTGCATCATTGCCTAATGAATTCCCGAGAAATTTTATGGTAAATGAAGTTTTGATTGAAGAGACTTACGGAGCCATGTTGCAAGTGAAGTGTGCTGTGAATAAATTTGGACCTATTCTAATCCCTTATGTAAAGGCCTGTTAAATATGGCATCTTTCATGCTTAAATTTTTCTTCTGGGACTATAGACTTGTATTTCCCGGTTCCATGTGTTGATGATTTAGTATCACCTTTCAAAATCCAAGAGTTGGATTCTGAAGTGGAGTATTGACATGATAAACCTATGACAGAAGTGGCTTCTGTACTTTAGTCTTAGAAATGTTTGTTATGATGTTACATATTACTCAGTTGAAGTTACATTTGATTGATGTAGTTGGAATCACCTATCCATTAGAACTGCAAGTTATTCTAGCGTGCTTGTGCTTGCCTAGTGTCAGTTTTTAAATCCGTGTTAGGTTCCTAGCAATTCATGCATTTTCACCTTTCTGTTATTTCATTTATTGAATTGATGGTGTCATTGCCCCCAAAAAAAATGTTGAAGCGCATGGCATGATCAAGCACAAGTCAAGTATTTCCCTTTTAAGCTTCAACACCAACGTAAAAATCTCTATTAAAGCTCTCATTGAACTTGGGCTTCATGCTTTATTTGAATATTTGGTAATTATCATCATCATCATCATCTTGGAAGATGGCTAAATATTGAAGTGAACAATGAGATCTACCACCATAGCTGAGAATTCAGTCAGTCAACCAAAAGTTAACATTCTATCTTATCTTTTCATAGCATATGCTGCTCCATTTGTTAAGGGGATTTTTCTTTATGCATGTGTCAACCCCATCTAGTGAGTTAAGACTTGTTTTTTAATTATTGTTGTTGGATCATTATGAATGATTGCGCTGATATGATGGTATTAATGCAGGCCAAGTATGTGGTTCCATCATGTGAGGCAGAGTCCAGATGATAGAGGATGCACTATTGCTGTAAATTATTGTAAGGATAAGATATTTTCTCTCGAGTTTCTAATTGGTAATTATCCAGTGTTTACCGGGAGGTCTGATGCATTATTATCTACTTTTTGCAGGGTATGATATGCAATTTGACATCAAGTATGCTTATATCAATTTCCTACAATCTCTTAATTACCGATCTGTTCTAAATTCAACATCAAGTGAGAATTTGTTAGAGGAATCAGATAATTCTTAGACAAGGCCCTTGTTCTTTGTTTTCTTTTTTCCTCTACTTAAAATGGCGAGATGGTCAACACTCAACAGCTTCTTTTTCAATTTTGAATGGAGTATTGAAATAGTCGATGTGATGAAATATTGTATTCAACCCCATAAAGGTCATACAATTTTGTAGGATTTCCCCCCATTTTTTCTTTTTATAATGAGATATAGATTTTGGTTTGGATATTGCATCCCAAAGATTATCTCAGTGATGCAGGAATTGGATGTGGCTGTCAAATGTCAATGGTATGGAAAGTTTTCATTGAAAAACAAACCTGATTGATAATTGGTCAAAGCACTAGTTCTTAGGATCATAATGAAATTAATGTATTTTAATTTCGTTTATTGAAATGCCATATAATATATGAAAGAAATAACAAATTCTATGATTTACATACTTAAAAAAGAAATGAAAAATTAAAGGATTTTTTTTAGCTCGTTTGTTTTAATTTTTTTTAATGAAGAATGAGTTACTTTATTTAGGAGTAATTAATGAGTTTTCCCAGCTAAATTCCATAACTTACATGGTTAATCAATCCTTCATCGATTCCATATCATTTTCTTTATTTGCTTGTCATTTATCAAAACGAAAGTATATGAAACTTATACACGACCGAGTTGGCAACAAATTTCCCCGCCTTGAAAGAAATTCTATCAATATAGACACTCAAAGCACACATCAGACCAAGGAAGGGCAAACACAAAAGTTAAACTTGCGTTCTTAGGAGTGAAAACCCATTGCAACTATGACGTTTAACTTGTGACACGCTTGTTCTACGTATATATACCTATAGAAAAATCAATGAAAAAAAAACCGGACCGGACCGGCCGGTTCAACCGGAAAACCGGTAAACCGGTCCTTGGTCCGGTCTGGTTGAAGGAAAAAACCGGCCTATGATAAAACCGGAAAAAACCAGGTTCAACCGGTGAAAACCGGGCAACCCGTCGATTGGATGGGTTGTCCGGTTTAATAATTTTAGTCCTCCTGTTGTTCACGAAGGCATTCGTTACTCTTGAGGCCATCTGCGTCTCTACCATTATAAGAGCAAGAGGTGATGACCAAAAACCAGAGAATCCAGCAAAAGAAAGGGGCAGTAATTGAGGAGGGAAAAAATAATTGGAAGAGACGAAGAGTAGAGAATGAAGAAGATACCTCAGGGTGTTGAGAAGGCGGTGGAAGGGTTGAAATAAGAAGGATAGAGGTGGCGGTGGGGGCAAGTGAAAAGAGGAAGAATAGCAAAATGAGGAGCTGCCGAGCTGAGGATGAGGACGGAGAGGTGAGCGGAGTGAGAAAGTAATCCAATTCCAAGGAAAGGAAGTGAAGGGACGATGGGCAATTATTTTATTATTAAAAGGAGGAATACACAGCCTGTAATTTCAGAGCAAGCACGGCAGTCCAAGTCTTCCAAGTCTTTTCTTTGGATTGATTGCTTTTTTACTATGGTACTTAATGGAGTGATTGAGGGGTAAGCCGTATGGAGATTAAAAAGGGATGACTGTAGAACAATGATTCAAAGGTGGCCCACACAAAAAGCAAAAGAAAGTTCCCAAAAAACATAAGAGTAAAAATTTTTTTAGAGATTATTATTTTATTTTGTTATTATTAATTAAATTATATTATTTTAATATGACCGGTCCGACCCCGGTTAGACCATTAACCCTTAACCCACTATCTTGACCGGTTCATTGTCCGGTCCGGTTTTTTGTTCCTTGAGAAAAATAGCTCACACAGGCATGTATTGAGGACATAACTTTTGAGATTTTGTACCTTATCAAAACACAAACAATGGTTTTCTCATATTCAGACTTTCTTCGGCTTCATCTCCTCCAACCTTGTCTTCATTGTTCAAAGCCTCAGAGGGGAATGAAGAAACCCTCATCCAAAACAAAGTCCCACCCCCATTCGTCAAATGGGAGTTTGTTCTATGTAACGCAAACGCGTCGTACAAATAACTCGACTGAGCTATAGTCCGTAATATTTTTGTAACAGGACAAGGCTTCTTGTTATTTTAGAGCAGACAGCTCATTCTCTTGGAATGAAATGATTGTACCAGCTCAACTTTAGCTCCATAGTTACCTTAATGACACGATTTCTGAAATGCTAGGACATGTAAACTTGCTTTGCAATCCGTGAGGAGGGTTAGGAGGAAGAACAGATGTCACTGAGAATTTTCCCAAGATAAATATTCCAATTCGCAGTAGCATGAATTGTTACCAAATAAGAGAAGGGACATAGACCAGGAACACCTTTTGATCACAATCAATGACATGTAAGAAACTCAATGCCCAGAAAAATTTCTGCTACGGCAGTACAAGAGCAGTTCAGGCTATAAAAGATTAAGGGAAGAGTGAATATTTTATTTAGTAAGGAACTTTAAGCAACTCTGGCAGAATATAGAAAGAAGAATCACGAAAGAGAGCATTAATTTGGCTAACTATTAATTACCTTTAACCAATTCTTATGATACAAAAAGAATGCCTATTTTGAATGAGGGAGCAAAACTCAAGAAGAAAAAAGGATTTTACTATGAAAAAGAGTAAGTTTAGATAAGATATAGTGTGGTCATACCAAAGTTCCCTAAAGATGATGCTCTAAACCTTCACCAAGTGTGTCTCAGCCACTGAGGAATTAAGGTCTTCTCGAGACTGCGATCTCCTACTCTGGAGACGCATCTGACTTCTGTGAGGAGACCAGAAGGCACCCATATTACTGCCGTCTGCCTCAGCCATCGAGGAAATAAGGTCTTCTCGAGATTGTGATCTCCTACTCTGCAGACGCATCTGACTTCTGTGAGGAGTCCAGAAGGCACCCATATTACCGCTGTCAAATTGCATCTGCCCTAAATTATTTGACGAATAACTACGTGAGACATTGCTGGCTGAAGGGTACAAGGAAGCTTCCATAAGTTGGATGCCAGTGCTGCCATCACCGAGGCTCGGCCCCAAGCCAAATGGTCTTTCCTGTGCCCCCGCAACTGTTGGGCTAAGTGGCATCTTAACTCTTCCATCCCCTGCAATACGAGATAAATTGGACTCAGCTCAGCCATAAAAGAAACATGTTGAGAAAATCGTAAAATGGAATTACTTACACAAAGTCAAACGTTTTAAACCATCCAAAAATATAAAGTTAGTAACTTATAAACTGCAACCGAGCATAATTTACAGATATGGTAAACAATCCATAATCTTGACAACTAAAGCAAGTTGACAATGTTAGCATAGAATGCCAATTATATATACATAAATCTACCACTTGGCAGGCCAGTATAGCATGCAAGCCGTCATACTAAATCGAGTAGTAAAGAAGACCCTTTGGTATCTTACAGCAATAATAGACTAACACTTCCTAAATACTATTCTATCCAAAGATGAGGAAAAAAATAGGTGCATACTTATAGTATAGAAGTTCACATTTAAAATGTAATAATTAATTTAGTTAAATAATAAGTCGGGGTAGCAGAAATGAGGATGCTGAGATGGATGTGTGGTCATACAAGAAAAGATAGGATTCGAAATGAAAATATCAGGACAAGAGTCGGTGTAGCACCTATCTAAGAGAAAATGGTTGAAAATCGGTTAAGATGGTTTGGACATGTGCAGAGAAGGCCATTGGAAGCCCCGGTGAGGAGGGTGGATCAAACAAGATGGAGTCCCATAAAAAGAGGCAGAGGAAGACCGAGAAGAACGCTTAATGAGACCATTGAACGAGACCTCCTAGTCAACAACATATCTAAGGACTGGGTTGTTGACAGAGCACGATGGCATCGTGTGATTCATATAGCCGACCCTACCTAGTGGGATAAGGCTTGTTATTGTTGTGATGGTTACTTCATAATAAATCCAAACGTGCAAACTCCATTCAATTAGTAAAGTAAATGAGTTTGAAATTTAAATTTCTAGGACACAATTGTCCAGTGTATGCCACATTAGCACAAGAGAGCTTAGGAATATTCCAGAATAGAGTTTCAAAATCAAAGCATCGCTCCTACAGTGTTTAGGGCCCATGTGGAGAATCAAATTTTCAAGCAGTGTTTATTTTTGTTCTTGTGTACCAACTGGCATTAGAGCTAGGCAATGATATGGCTAAAGAAAAAGAAAGACTAAATAGCGTTAACCATGGGTTCTTGACCTAGGTAATTCTTTGAGCAACGCTTACAGCCATGCAAATTTTTTGAGACTAAAATGTGTGTGGCCCCCCAAGTTTATATCAAGTTTCAGTTTAATCCCTTATATTTAAAAAGTGAAATCCCTTAATCTTGACATCGTCAGTTTCATTTAATGGAAAATGCTAACTCAACAAATGTAAATGGTTGTTAGTTTATTTAATAGAAAATGCTGACTTGACAAATTTAAATGGTAACTTTGCAATTAAATACTAACAAAACATGCTCTAAATTTTAATTTTTGAATGTAATCATTTTTATAAATGCTTAAATTTTTAATATTTTATCATACGTTTAATTCTTTAAATGCTTAAATTTTAAAATATAAAAATGATTATATCAAAGAATTAAAATCTAGATCATGGTTTGTCAGCATTTTTAACTGTAGAATCACTATTTAAATTTGTAGAGTCAGTATTTTCCATTAAATGAAACTATGTTTAAACTTCGAGACTAAAAATACACTTCTAAACTTAAGAGACAAAACTGAAATTTGAGGTAACTTAGAGGCCAAACATATACTTTAGCTTTTTTAAAACGATAAATTATAACAATAAGAGTACTTGAATGTCTAGACCATACAGACATCCTTTCATCTCATTATTATTAGAATGCGCTTGGTTCCATGAAGGGGAAGGGAGGGATGTTAATGAAAGGGTAGGGAGTTAATGATTGCTGGTTAGATTTAAATCATAAGACATGAAGCTGATTAGTTTTCCCTTTTCCCTAGCTCCTTCCCTCCCCCATAATTGGTGGCCATAAGACTGCTAAGAATTTTGGGAAAAGATCAATGAAGTCGTAAATCTAAAACGTACTTGTCATTGCGAGAGCACAAGAAAATAACAAGAGATTTAGGTACAAATAATTTTTTTAGGCAATGGGAAGTCCATGAGCTTAGAATAAAGCATCATCAAAAGTCATTAGTTGTGAAAACAACTTACCAGAATTGATAGGACTCCACCTTCTAAATCGGAAAGGAGATGAGATATTAAGAACAGATGCACTGGACACACTGTTATGCCTGAAAAGGGGAAGATATGATGACCTCCGGAAAAATCTTGGCATCCCACTACCAACATAAGATAATGCGCAAAGTAGGAGAATCAAAGAAAGTAACATAATGGGAATAAGAATAATAGGGTTTATCTTCATCTGGATTAAGTCAAAACCACGAAGCCCAAATCTAGTGGAAAAAGCCTTCCCAGCTTCCAACAAAGCAACCCCTAGTGTCCAAGTAATAGACCCAGAGCCAACAGTTATGTGGTTATCCATGATATGCAAACCCTCTCTGAGCAGGGATGTAATATATGGTGCCCTAAAGCAATACTGCTCAATGAAAGGCTGCGGAGCAACACTTTTCTTTGCAACCTCCCATCTCTTTTCACAGAAATCCCTACCCTTTTCCAATACATCATCGAGTGTGGCTTCAGAAGTCAGGTTATAGAATCGGTACACCACAAAAAATCCAGAAATCACATAAAAGTGGCCGTATGGGCGAGGCAGATTATCACTAAGGGCACAAGGATGCACTTCACAATCAATTCCTGGACTGAGATTGGACCATTCAGACAAATTGACAACAATTTTTGCAAGTGCACTACATTCTTGCCAATTTGGAGCACCAATAAGCATCACTGGGATTCCTGACTCTCCTTTTTTACCCAACTTCTTTCCATTAATCAAAGGGCTTTCGCTTTCATTGTTATTGGAAGAACAATGAGAGCAGATGTACTGCTCCTTGTAACCAGATTGCAAGCAAGGATGTTTAAGTTCTAACTTCCTATTAGCTAGATCTGCATTGGTGGATCCAAACTTTTTCTTATAAAGATGAGCTACAGATTTGGAAAATGCCTCGTTCAGACCATAGCCTGCTAAAGAATATGCAGTGAGATGATGGTTTACTGATCCAATCCTAACAAATAAGCTAGTTTCACTATTCAGTTGTTGATCACTCTCAAACGTAACCTGTAATGATGAGCCACCCAAGTCAAGTGCACCATATGTTGCTTGTCTGGGTCTAACACCCAAGATGCCGCTATGATAATTGAGGGCTATCCATCCATAGTAAGCTTCTTCAGTGCCACTAATAATCTTAACCCAATCCTTTTTGCACAAGAAAGGAGAACCCTTCAGTATAGACAATGCATTATCCAGCAGCCATTTTGAGTCAGCACTTGGAAGCCTCCGGACACCAGCAGTAGCATAAAGGAATAGAGAAGTACTCTTGTGAGCATGCTCTGGTATTTGCTTCTTTGCCCACTTGACGAGAGGTTTTAATGCTGCTTCCAAGCCAGACTTGTTATGGACCAATTTATCAAGCCCGGGTTCAGTTTCCATTCGATCATAAGCACGTCCACTGTTAGATTTCTTCCGCAGGCCATCTCCAAATGATTTGATAGTGATTGGAAGATTGCTATGTTCCTTGTGTTCAATTGAAGCCTGATATACATAAATCCGGGTGCCAGTACTCCCACAGTCAAGTACAACATAATATTTACCTGATCCTTGATTCCAATAAGAATATATAAGCATGGATATCAAGTAAATTAGAAAAAGAAAGAATATGATGCAGAATGAAAGTGTGATCACTCGGACCCATTTCATGCGAGCAGATGGGCTTCCCCCTTGAACTGCCTTTGCCTTAGAGAAACTGGCACCCGCATTTTCTCTCTGCAGAAGAAATTGGGGCTGCCTCAAATCACGCACATCCATAGGCAGACCTATATCACACTCAGTGGGGGCATCTGCCCCCACTGAAATCTTTGGAATATGCATAGTCGATATGATACCCCTTTAATTTTTGTTGCAGATGCTTCGACGAAGATGCCTTAGTAAGCCAATTGATTCAGGCAACTCGTCCAAGCCAATGAAGAACGACAATTTAAACCGAAGCTTGTAAATTGTCAGACACAACCCAAGCCAAGTCATTTACCAGATCTGCATCACAAATACCTATAAATTGAAGATAATATAAAGAGATCAATAAACAGAATGCCAAAACGCAACAAATCCGACAATGCACAACAAAACAATCCAAAACATATAAATCGCTAGCAATCAAAATGAAGAGGACCGAAGCATCATAGCCGATTACACACCATTGGAGCAGAAACTGGCAATCAGTTATATTCTAAAAAAGGTAAACTCTACTTATTCAAGAGCGCCAACATCCAAACGATTGCCCGACCAGATTTGAACCCAAATAGAAATGAAAAAATTGAAAGAAAGGAAGAAACAGGGCGACGGCGACCGACAAAGGGTTGGCAACCAACAGATGACGCGGGGACCAAATGCAAATCTAGATTCAAAGCCAGATTGAGCAAATCAATCTCACCGATTTTTGAAAGGAGGCAAAAGCCCTAGGGTTCAGACCTTCTCCAATACTTGCTCGGCAACAACCACGCAGGGGTGACGACGGCGGACGGCGTCGGACGGCGAGCTCGGCCCAAGTGGCGAATGCTGGTTGGTCGACGAAGAAAAATGCATCCACGAATACTGTAACCAGACCCCCTTCGGCTTATTTATTTTATGTACAGTGACTCAGCAGCATGGCATTCCCCTTTGTGAAGGAAAAGGGAAAAATGGATACGCTGCCACTACGCTACTTATCTTGCTACACGAGAGTCGACACACAGTTTTGTCATGTTACAATTAATTTTCGGACAAGTAAGTAAATTAATTATTTTTAATAACAAAATTCATTTCATCAATTTATATTACTATAGAAGGATTACTATTTTTGCTGGTAAAAAAAAAAAAAAAGTACTCCTCCGGTCCTAATTATAAGACCCAATTGACTTATTTGAGGAGATTAAGGAAGTAAGTTAAGTTGGTTATTTATAATAAATAAGTGTTGTCATTCCTAAAATATCCTTGCTAATTAAGTATGGCTAAAACTATCATTATTAGAAGGATTATCTTGGAAAAAAAATGCATAAATATAAGAGACAAAATGGATTGGGTCTTATAATTAGGACCAAATAAAAAGTCAAATTGGATCTTATAATAAGGACCGGAGGAGTATTACTATTTTTTTAATATTTTGAATTTTTACATTTTTTTAAATTAGATTTGGATATTGTGAGAGTTTAATTAGAAGTATCTCTCCAAAAGCATTTTCTCCTGGGATAAGGTGCAAATTTGTTTTATTAGTTTTTATTTAGAAGTTTTAGGACCTAAAAGTTCTATTGGGTATAAATTTGCTTCCAACGTTTAAAATCATAACAGTACTACCACATACCATTAAAAAACTAATATTGAATGTTAAAACAATGACGTTAACTATTAATATTTTAAAAAATGTACAATAATTTTAAACTTTCAAGTCAAATTTACATCTGAAAAAACTTTTAGATGTCTAAAGCTCCTGAGTAAAAATGTCCGAAACAAGTTTGCACCTCAAACTCTTTGTATTTTGTATTTATCTTTTTCATATCAACAAGGAACAAAAAACCGGACTGGACACTAAACCGGTTAAGGTAGTGGTTCAAGGGTTAGTGGGTCAGACCGGGGTCAACTCGGATCAAACCGGTAATATTAAAATAATATAATTTAATTGAAGATAAAAAAATACAACAACAATAATAATTGCTGCCAACCAAAAAATTAAGAAATATAATAATAATTTAGTTGTAATAACATTAAGAATGTTTTATTAAATAGTATGTATTACACCCAAGCAGCTCTCCTCAATTTTCTTTTTAACCGGCCTTCCCTCCACTATCTTCAAAATTATAGTATTTATTTATATATAATTGATATATATATATGGATTAATGGGAGAAATGTCTGTTAAAAAAAATAAAGATGAGATGAATGAAAAATCACATCAATGCTTCGAAGAACGAAAAAGAAGGAAAAAAGTTGTGCTATAGCCTGCAAGTCCTCAGCGAATAGTCTGCCACTCTGCCCATACAATATCTTTTTTTAAAAAAAAACAAAACTCTCTGCAGTGTTTTGATTTGACTTAGAACTCCAGAACTTATGCCTTTCTTCCCTTCACTTATTTTTCCCCATCGATTCTCGTTCATCTTTCTCTCAAGTTTGAATATATTTTTGTTCTCCTCCTGAACTCCTCCTCCTAAGCAGAAACAGGCTGGACATGGCAGCAATGATGCTTGCAAAATCAACACTCCGACATATGCGCTCTGTGCTTCCAAGAAAAGTTTGGCAAGTTGCTTTCCTCTTCCCTACCTTTTTCTCCATTCTTCCTCCTTCTCGCCGCTGTCTCTTCCGCCCTCCACCTCCTCTTTCTTTTTCTCCTCAAACTTCTAATTTCTGGTTTTTATTTTTAAAAAAAAGAGTGATCCAGTTAACCCATCTAACCCAACGAGTTGACCGGGTTATTACCGAGTCACCACGGTTCGAACCGGTTCATACCGGTTCAAAAATTTTCCGGTTCATGCATGAACCAGACCAGACAAGTGACCGGTTCACCGGTTTCCGGTCTGAACCGGCCGGTCCGGTCCGGTTTTTTGAACATTGCATATCAAATAGTATTAAAAAGTTAATTTAACTCTTCTATGTAAGATAAAATTTCTACAATGATTTTATTTAGACACTCTCTAAGATGCTTTTAAGACCTATTTTCTATTCTTTTCTTTTTTACTTGTTCTCTGTTTTTTTTTTTTCAATTCTCATTCTTTCAGAACTTTGTCCAATGGATTAAATGGATTTTAATCTTTTACTATGTATATTGTGTTGGATAATAAGAATAAAACTAACTAAAAAAGTAATGCATTCTAATATATGATTTTATAATTTTCATCACACTATTTTATCTAATCAAGATATACATGATATATTTTTATATGCATCAATCAAAATTTTATTCCAAAAACTCCTTAAAACATTTATGTTTAAATAAAAATTTTAAGTCATATCAGGTTTTGAGCTTACCCTTCAAAGCAATAGTCTAATCTGACTCAATATTTCCTTTTTTTTTTTTAAAGAATTGATTTTATCACTTCATTTGAATTACCAATATGTATGGTTTTAGTGGAAGGAATTTTAGCTATTTAAGTACAAAGCCTCAAGCTCAAAACATGATAATACTTGAATCTGACCCATTCAAATGACTATATCAAAAAACTGATTCTCTCTTGTCTTCAGTCATGCCGTCCTTCATTGTTCTTGTAACATCTTAAATTCTACTCTAAGGATTTAAATATTAAAAAAAAAAAGGTTCCAAATTGTTATTTTCTCCGTTTTACCTAGGGTCTTTAACTTCAGTTTACCCCTAGTGTTTTCTTTTTACCCTCTTCCCGTCTTTTTCTCCTTCTCCTTCTCTCTCTCCGCATTGCTTCGTTGCTCGCTCGCAGCGTCGCTCTCTCTCCCTTCTCTCTTTATTGTTTACAGATCATTTTGGTAAGTAAAACTACTTTTAATTACAAAACTCTCTTCATGAAAGTTGTTTTACTCAATCAGATCTATCTAATGATAGTAATTTTATATTACTTAGAGAAATTTTTAGTATAGAATTTGGAGCAAGTATTTAGTTTTGATGAGTGTTAACCACAGTATTGTAGATCTGTTATAGTAGATCATTTCTACCGGTTTAGATTTGTCCATTTGTTGATTTTAGTATTTACAATTAATTTTTAATAAAAAAATATGTTATTTATGAGATATATTATATTTATACCGATTAAAATTAAGTTAAATAATTTATTTGAGTTATTTGATATATTATTGAAATTTTAATCGATTTAGTTTTGTTTATTAGGTGACTGGAGGTTTTAAAATAATTATTGTAGTTAAAGCTCATTATTTATGAAAATATATATATGCCATTAAAATTTTGATTAGATTATTTATATATATAAATATTTGAGACACTATTGAATTTTTGATGGTTCGGTTTTGAGGTTTAAATTTCAAATGAGATTTTTATAATTTAGAATATAGTAATTTCATATTTAGAAATTTTGGAAAATTCTTTTTATTAAAGTAAATAAGTTGGAGAATGTAAATAAATAATTTGGCTTATTAGAAAATTATCAGTTAGTTCTAAATACTTAATTTTGGATTATAAGAGTTGTGAGAATTTAGAATGAAAATTAAATTAAATTAGGAATTTAACTAATATATAAGCTTAATAAATTAATTAGTTAATTTATATTAATATGTGGTTATATTAATTGTGTAGATTAATTATTGGTTGAGCAAATGATTGACCTTGTGGTAATCCTTAGTATTGCTTTGGCGAGAGGTAACCACTTTCCACTTGTTATATGTGCTAATATGTTGTTTGTGAGTATTTTGCTATTTTTAGAATAATATTTAATATTTGGAACTTGAGAAGATATGTTATATCTTTTGAGCTATGAAAATTGTCTTGTGGGATTTTTGGAATTGTGATTGAGAAGTTTGGAAAAGATATATGATTTATATCTTATGGATTATACTGGGAAAAGATTGAGATATTTTTGCTATTTTGTGAATGGTTGGTTGTTGTTTGGATTTTGGATTGAGCGCTATCCTACCACGTGGTAAGACCGCCATTGGTGCACATTGGTTGGCTTCTTCCTTCGTCCCTAGAGTAAGGGATAGACCCTTGTGGCTTTTTATTCGTCCCCCAAAGTGTGGGATAGGCCTGTAATAAGGGATGGATTTTTGTGACTACTTAATCGTCCCCCAAAGTGTGGGATAGGCCTATAGGTCGGTTTGATCCCCTATAGTGAGGGATAGACTTATGTGGCTTGTGTGTTAGCCCCGTAATGAGGATTTGGATGATTGAGATTATTTGAATATACATATTTGTATTTTCATTGATATTTATTGAGATTTAATAATTATCCCACTTGACACCTCACGAGCACGTGTTAGTATGTATGATGAGTTGGAAAGTTAGTTACTGAGGCGTTTGTCTCACCCCGTGGTTTAACATTTTTCAGGCGATAGTTCAGGTAGTGGCCCATCAGGGAAGGTTCTGGAGGCATAGTGTGTTGTTATAGCTTGTATAGCCTCCCTGCTTTTGTTTTATGTGTTGACTTGTTATATATTGCTACATAGGGCCCATATACTCTAATGCTGTAAACTAATATTTTTAATTACTACTATTTGATATGGGAGGTCATTGGAAGGCCAGATATATTTACAACTTTGCGTATTACACTCATTCGAAAGTGTTGACTTTTGACTAATGAGCTCTATAGTTTATATTAAACTGATTTATCAGTTCGTATGTTTGAAAATATCAGTTTGGTTTGGGCTAATGGTTGAATGATATTTCTGACTGTGGAAGTTCAAGGCCCAAGATAACGAATCAATGTTACTCTTATTATAAGTTTATTTTTTTTAACCATGATAGCGATTTTAAAATTTTAAGGTTTCTTTTTTTCTATCATGGTTAATCGTTCGAATAAATTGAAAATTTTGATCTAAATGGGTTTTAAAGGAACGGTTGTCACAGTTCTTAACTCCATGCCTTCCTTTCATTGTCTTCTCAGTGGCCATCCCTCCCTTCCTTTCATCTCACCGTCACAATTTCATTGAACTATTTGTTTTTGGGTGGCCAAGATGAAGGTATGTGA